ATGCATCTGAAATTCTTAAACAAACAATACTAACAAGTGAAAATAAAATACTTAAAAAAGGAAATAAAATGGTCGTGATAATTCGAACATAAAGTATAATTTAAAATATAATGCTATTTTCAACATGGACAAATAGTAACGTCATTGGAAAGAGACCTTGGTGTTTATATTTCAGACAATTTAAAATGGGAAGACCACATTGAAAAAATGGTAAGTAAGGCAAATCAAAAATTGGGTATGTTAAAGCACGCAATCCTCTATCCAGATGAAACATCAACGAAATTGTTATATATATCACTCGTTCGGCCACACTTAGAATATGCTTTTCAAGTGTGGAACCCATATTTTATTAAAGATATAAACTTAATAGAAAAAATTCAGCAAAAAGCTACAAAATTTGGCTACAAAAAAAAGAAAGACAGTTACGAGCAAAGATTAGAGAAAATGAACTTACAAAAACTATCAAATAGAAGGGAAAAAGGTGATCTTATCCAAATGTACATATTCATGAACAAAATTGATACTATCAATTGGCATCGTGAACCAGAAGTATTGGGTAGGCTAACTAGAGGACACAATCAAAGGTTGCGAAGGCAGTATGTTCAAACCTTTTTGCCGAGGCATCATTTCTTCACTAACCGTATAGTTGAAAATTGGAATCGTTTGGACAGTGAAGTTGTTAACGCTAATTCAGTAATTGATTTTAAAAATAAACTCTAAATAAAATCTAACATCTACAGTTGTTAGATTCTTTCTTGAAATTCTCAAGAACACAGCTTCAATTATTATTATAAATTTAAAAAAAGTAAATGGAATCTAAGATTTAAAAATGAATTATTTTACACATCTAATAGATTTTGAAAATATGCTATATTGAAGATATGCATTATAGAAGAGAAGAAGATTCTCCTGAAGTAGCTTGGGAACGTGTCCAAGTGGTACAAATTAATCAATTAAATGCTAAACGAACCACATACCTTATTAAGGACGATAATTATCCCAGAGTTGTTAACAAGGCCAAAAGTAGCAAGGCCAAGGCCACATGTTACAAGGCCAATACCGAGTTCAAAAGTTACAAGGACAAGGCCAACACTAAGAGTTTTAATGTCAAGGCCAAGAGTAAGAGTTTCAACGTCAAGTCCAACACAAATAGTTTCAAGACCATAGATTTAAAAATTTTCTTACATTAAGACCAATTATCAACAAAACTGTAGCTAGAAAATGCTGTGACAATAAAACTACATGTTGTAAAAAAAGACCAAGGTTATGCACAGAATTCAACGAAGTCAATAAGAAAACTTGTAGATATATATGAAAGCTGAAAACAAAAAATACATAAAAACAAAGAATGAAAACTTTTATTTTTTTAATTCAATGTATTTTTTTTGAAGACCAAAAAAAACCCATGAAACAACCATGACTAAAGCCGAAACAACCATGACTAAAGACAAGATTTTCAAGGCTAAGGTCTACAGTTTTGAAGCCAAGGCCTTTATTTTTGGCCTTAAGGCAAGGTTGAGGCCAAGGGCTAACAACTCTGAATTAACCTGGTGAAGTATGGTCATTTCGTCTATCAATTGATTTTGAAAAAGTTGATTTTATTTTTTGTAATTAGTATTGTAAGCTCATTTTATTAAATAAAAATTTAGAATTATGTTGTAGTATGTATTTATCTTTTTTTTTTATTATGTTGCAATAATTTGTTTTTACTGCATTTAAGTACAGTGGTTTTTATCTTTATAAATGGTACAAATCATATCTAATATGTTTATATGTACTAATTTTGTTTAATTTAAAGATATTTTTATATTATATGCCAATTATTTTATCTCTATGCTTAAGTGCACATTATTATAAATATTAAAATAAAAATAACAAAAAAAAAAGCTTTATGCAAAATTACTAATACTTTTTTTTTTGTTCTTTAATTTTACAACTTTGTGATTTAATAAATATTCGTTAACAATGTATATATATTCATGTTAACAATGTATATATATACAATGTATATATATATATATATACATGATCGTTATTAAGAAATAAAAGAACGCGGGAACTCGTAGAAGACTGTAAGCCTTTGTCGTCGAGAACCGCTAAAAAACTTACGTCTTAATATTTCGTATTTATAAAATATTCTCAAAATAAATAAACTTTCAATAGGAATATATACTTAACATACTTGAAGATAACAAATAATTAAGAATTAAGAATTGAAAACATTAACAAATTTAAAGAAAAAAAGAGAAAGAAAAAGGGTTCCGTTATAAATACATAGATGCGTTATACAGTTTTAAGGGTAGCAGGAAAAAATCCCTCTGGAAAAAATCCCCCCGAAATAATTCCCCGAGAAAAAATCCCCCGAGAAAAAATCATCCCGGAAAAAATCCCCTCGAGAAAAAATCCCCCGGAAAAAATCCCCCCCCCCCCCCAAAAAAAAAAAAAAAAAAAAATTTTTTTACATAAAAATTATCAATAAAATAGTTATATTTATTTATTTTAAATTTTAAGTCTTATAAAATACTTCATTTTTCATCAAAATTAAAAGTTATGCGCTATTCTGCTACATCGACTGACAAATAGCCTGACTCGCAACGGAGTGCTGCTACATCGACTGACAAATAGCCTGACTTGCAACAGAATGCTGCTACATCGACTGAGGGTTTGGGTTAGGCTGGCAGTCTATCAAATAATTAAAAATTATATATATTTTCATATTGTTTTTGTCTAGTTTTACTTAATTTCCTTTTATTTTTTCTTAAGCAATTTTTTCGCATAGGGTTAGGGTTAGGGTTAGGATTAGTGACTCTTTTTGAATCCAAATTGTTTATTATAAAGAATGTTATTAATATCTAAGAAATAGTACAGTCTTTTATACATAATATGTCCTAATATTTTTGAAAAACAAGGTAGTATTGAAATAGGTCTATAATTTTTAATACATGTTGCATCTCGAGATTTTAGAACCGCCATCACCCTTGCAAATATAAATATTTAAAATAAATAAAGAAATAAACTTAACTGAATATTGTTAATTTTTATTAAAAAAAATAATAAATTTTTGGGGGGGATTTTTCGTCAGGAGGATTTTTTGTCAGGGGGATTTTTTCCGTGAGGATTTTTTCTCGGGGGGATTTTTTCCGGGGGGATTTTTTCCAAGAAGCGTTTTAAGGTACCTTTAACAAAATTAATAAACTTTTTGTTAAAGATTTTGTTATACAGTTTTAAGGTACCTTTAACAAAAGTGTTAAACAACTATTTACAAATTGTTAAATTATAAATTTTATTAATGCAGTGTTAAATATAAAATTAAAAAAGAAACAAAAAAATTAAAAGAATATAGATATATCATCTAATAAAAAAATGACTTTTTTAAGTTTTTGTATGAAAGAGTGATAACTAACTTCTTGAGAAAAGTCAAAATTCTTTAAAACTATTTTATTCCAAAGTAATGCTCCTCGAAATGAAATACAGTATTTTCCAGAATTAGTTTTATAAGCTGATTGACGAATGTCATTATCATTTCGTAAAATGTACTTAGTTTTTTCTTTTTTTGTTATACAAATTATGAAAAGGTACAGGACAAATATCGTTTTTACATTTAAACATAAAGCATATAACGTTAAAAATATTAAGCTCGTATATATTTAAAACTTTCATTTAAACTAATAGAGGCTTGGCGTGAGTAAATCGATCCTTAAAATTACTAAGGCGTGCAACTTGTTTCTGTTGACGATAAAGAGGTTCCAGTTTACTTTTATTAGTACCCCACGCAATGTTCGCATAGTTTATGTGACAATGAATGAGCGAATAATATAGTTTAAGTAATGTATGTTTATTTAAAAAACTTCTTGCTTAGTACAAAATTCCTATGCTTTTTGAAATTTTACAACTCAAATTTTTTATGTGACTTTTCCATGACAAATTTTCATCAATATAAATACCAAGAAAGTTTGTAACTGTTACTTTTTTTAGAAGTATAGTATCAATACAAACATTACTATTAAGTAATACATTGCTATTTAAGTTATACAATTTCAAAAATTATCGTACAAGCATTTCGACATTTATCTGGTATTGACTACTTTTATACCATTGAGATTAAAATATGTGATAATTAAGATCTTTAAAACATGTGGTATTTTCCACCTATATCCTATGTGGGATTTACAATATAAAAACGAGATATTTAATAACTATAGTAACTATACTTAAGACTTTTTGATTCATTAGTATTTGTAAAACCTTTACGCACTGCTCAATTAGGTTTTTTCTGCTGTTGACACTATTAAGGTATTTCCTTTCCTTTGACATTCTTTATCAATTTTCATTCAAGAAAGAACTCACCAGCGTTAAATCAAGGAAAAACATCTCATTATTTAAAAACTTCAGAATTTCAATAATTTGTCATTAAAATTAACATATCAAAGTGTTTTAGTGGTATTTTACTTAAATTGCATCTTTTTAAATTTTAATATTTTAGGCAGTATCTTCTATAACTGTTGGCTTAAGTATTGCACCTGAAAACAGTACTTTTTATAAGATAGAGTCAACGTTTAAAAAAAAAATTATTTTAGAACAGTTATTGAAATATGAAACAATTATTTTATACGTACTCAGATTCATTTGCTAATTTAATAACAAGATATAAAATAGTGATTTTATATGTCAAAGTTTTTTAATAAAATGAAAAAATCTCAATATTATACTACTTTTTTGGTATTTGCTGCATCGCAAAGTGACTATTTTCCGACCAACGAGTCCAAAAAAAGTCTTTTTTTTTGCTAATAATATTCAGATAGCATGGACTGCTATCTCAGTATTTAAATTTTAATTGCTAGTAATTTTAAAAATTGCATTGACAACCTTGTGCATATGTAGATATGGCCTCAGCTCCTTTATTAAATATATTTTTTGTAGCTTTTTTTTTAAAAAGACCTGCTTTTCTGAATTAGTAGGAGACGTAAATTGACGTCACTTCGTTGTTTGAAAAAGCTTTATACAAAAATTAGTCATTAACAGCGTGAAATGTACATGAAAAGTTTTCACAAAAAACGTCTGTTAAAATCTATACACATTGTCCAAAATAAATGTCTTTGTAACAATTAAAATTTACACAAATAAAAAAAAAAGTATAAAAACATGGTTCGTACTGCAACCGTTACTAAACTTTAAAGTGTATCAATTTTACAAAACGTTTTATATTAAACAGTATACAAGAAATTATTTTTAAGCAAAACTCTCTTTGTGAAAGATAAACGAATTGCCTCGAAAATTAACACTTTTACATGCATCATATAGAACCTTGCCCAAAGGTCCTGGACCACAAAAAAAAACACCAACTCTTGTCCTAAATAAAAAAATAATATTAAATTGGTTATTTGATCATTATTTAAATAATTTTTTATTTTAAAAACATATTAAATATTTACTTATAATGATTTAGTGAAATTTTTTTCAAAATATCTTCAAAATCAGGTCGACCATATCTCAATCTTTTTTGAAGCCACTGTATTTTATAATCAGCCATCGAGGGATCTTCTGTAGTTAAATTAGCACCACGGGTTACAAAAAGGTGACATACCAGTAAATCCCCCATATTAATTGAATTTAACTAACATCAAAGAAACTTTAATTATTAAAAAGATTACTTCAGACAACTTACATTTTCAAGGTGGTTTTCCACTTTTCGAAATTCCTCGAAACGGGCATAAAAGCTGTTAAAGCAAACGTGCTCAATTATTTGGTCACGTGATCGGAAAATTTTATAACATCTTGTCTGTCCTGACGAAATTTTCTGAGTGGAAAACCGCCTTTAGGTATAAAATAATTGAAAATAAAAACAAGAAAAAAACAAACAATGTAATCTTGAAAACTAAAAATGACCTGTAAAAACTTACATGTTTAACTGTGTCAAACATAAGCTGCAAAAACCAAGTAAACTCTTGAATATCCCGACATGCCCAAACCAAATGCATACGCTTCATTTTGAAGTTCTTATCAACTAACTTCGGATCCAAACTCCTAGTTTAAATGAAATTTCAATTGTAAATTGCCTTAACTAATTGTAAGCTGACTCTCTGTTAAATAAATTAAATTACTGAAAAATAATTCAGTTATATACTGACTCTGATTAACAACTGATTACTGAAAAGTACATTAAAAAAATAGATAAAAAAAATAGAAAAAATAGATAAAAAAAATAGAAAAAGATATGACAAAAACTTCGTTTTCGTCATATCTTAAAAAAAAAGTAAAAACATTTTATTTTGTAAATTGAGGTATGTTAAAAACCCAAATGGCATAAAATGCCTAAAATACATATATTAACTATAAAATTGCCATATATTAAGTATAAGAATGTATAAAGTATGAATATATACAGTGTTTATAAAATGTATAAAGTATTTATAAAATGCATAAAGTACAGGTAAAAGGACCTCAGAATGCAGAGGGACCTCAGAAGGTCAGGCTGGAAATAATTTTAAATAATTCAAGCCTTTCTGAAAATAAATTTGCAAAACTATATCAGAAATTCAAAACTCCAAAAACAGTGCTAAAAAGATGCGTGCGAAGAGTAAATCCAACTTTCTTAAAATCGCCTTTTAAAATACCTAGCAATTGTAATGAACAAAAAATATAAAAATAAGATCCAGGTAAACTTTAATCCAAAATCAGCGAATAGAGAATGTTGTGTTGTATTCTGGATAAAATCAGTTATAGGAATGAAGTTTTTAACATTACTTTCATCAGAGTAAAACTGAAAGCATTTTTTGGGTCCTGTTTCACAAAATGGTTTGATCATATTCAGTTTTAGGCCTGTTTCACCTCAGCATAATGCTTTACTACATGTAGATTTCAATACATTATAGCAACACGAGTATTATCGAAGCTTAGTCGCCTGCACATTCTTTCCACTTGTACATTCTTCCTTACATTTATAGAATGCCTCAATTTGTTGTTGTTTAGATTTCTTTTCTTTATTAGCTTTCTCCTTTTTGGCTTTGTCTTTTTGATTAAAGAAACCGTTTCCAATATTTTTTTCCCCCTCCATTGAGCCGTGAGCATGGGTAACTCTAACATTTTCCTTGTTCATTTTAAGTGTTACTTTGGTTACAGGCAACAAGTTAGATACTTCTTCCAGTGATGTTGATTTATCTGATATCGTTTGACAAACTTTCATGGCACTTTTACATTTATGTTTCCAATATTTTGCTAAGCCATAGAGAACATCTTTTGGAGATAAAATTGTTACTGCTGTTGATAATTGATTTTTTTCAGTATTTTCATTAATACACAGCTCAGCTCGTAAAAACTTATCTTTCTGCATCCATTTAACACTGAGTCGTCCACATTGAAATACCAATCTTTTTACCTGTATTTATGATTCCTTGTTTTGATGCCCACACTGGCCATAACTCTGCAAGTGTATTCATCAAACTTTCTCTGTTGATCGTCATAAACAAAGAATAAAGTACAGATTCAGCATTTTTGTAATCAGAGTGCAATTTCTGATTGATTTGATCAAGGAGCTGGGTAACGCCAGTTGTGTCAGGTGTAGTGATGAAAAGTCTAATATTTTTCTTTTTTAGAAATGTCAATACATCACCATCAAATCTTGAAGAGTGACCATCAGATAGGACAACGACAGGACGTTTTATATTGTTTTTTTCTAAAAAGTGGTCAAGCATTCGATATCACTTAGAAGTGTACTGTGATCTTGACCATTTTCATTTGTGGAGATTAAAAGATTTGAATTTTGTATAACTGCTTCTTTTGGAGCCATGTGGGTACTAATCCCTTTTCCCTTGAATATGATGTAGCACGTTGCTATATCTTTTCCATAGGAAACAAAAGGAGGAACAGTTATGCATTCTCTATTTTTTTTTATCATCTTTTGACAACTTTCCCCTCTCCCAGCATACACTCAACCATTTGGAGCACCATAAACTCCATAGGTTAATAGTGATTGTAAATTCTAGTGGTATCTATATCTTCTTGTCATACATCTGTTTCTAATTGATCTGCATTAAAGAAAAAGAGGTTTCTACAAGCTTGCTTTCTTACTCCCAAAACATTCAACATTATCCCTGTCAACCCCAACTTGTTTAAACCTTGGAGGCACCTAAATAAATTATTGAAATAACAATACAACAAAACTAAGCAGTATAAGTTTAGTTTTCTTAATAAACAATATCAAAAAACCAGGATTATATTACAAATTATAACAGTTTATAAAAAAAATGTTTTATTTCTCAATTATGTGTACATATTACCTATTCTTGCTTTTTAAATAACAGACTAACAACTTTTCTTTATCTTTTGTAAAAATTGAACAATATTCCTTCTCGCTTCTTGTTACAATGACATCATCAACCCGTTTGTTAATTGTTCTATCTTTAATTAGAGGAAATTTTCAGAATTGATTCTGGCCCAACCACGTTTATTGTTGATTCGGCACCACTCAACTATTTCCTCTAACTGCTTACTTTTCATCATTATGACATCTCTTAGAACATTACATCTTGATTCGCTAGTTGGTTTAACTCTAAAGAACTTTTACATTTCTTATTTATTCTCTACTGCTAAGGAATATCAAAACAAACTTTTGTACTTGCATTCTAGTAAACGCACTTGAGTTAAATTTATTCATTTGTTCAAAAGCAAACAAAGAAAACATACTAAAGTGTGTTTGAAGGAGGTTTCGTGATAAAACTATAAGCAAAATATACTATATATTTCATAACGTCGAGAAGAAATTGAATGCAAATATCTTTTTTTTTTAAATTTAACTTTCATTTAACTAGCATTGTGAGTTCCCTTAACCTAGCATTGTGCGGTGGAATGTAGTACAAAAGATAAGTGAACCAAACATTTAAAAATATATTCAGCATAGAAAATAAATATTATATGCAGAAATTCATGATTACCTAAGCAATATTGTCAACAATACTACCTATTATTTAATCTGACATTCTAAGGTTCCTAATGAAAAAAGCATGCCCTAAATATTTATCTAAAGACATGAAAACTGTATTATAAATTTATTCAAACATTTTGGCAATCTAGCAGGAGTATTTCTTCAACTCATAAAAGTTAAAACAAAGTATATGCTCAAATATTTGGAGCTTTGCAGGATCTTAAAAATACCTAACATTCTGAGATCCCTTTACCTGTATTGTATTTTAAAAATGTATAAAGTATTTATAAAATGTATAAAGTACTTATAAAATTTATAAATTATAATGTATTAAGTATAAAAGAAACATATATTATGTATAAAAATGCCTAAAATACATATATATAACACACGTTTATAAAAAGTAACACTGTTTATTTTTATAAACATTTCAATATTTGTTTTCAAAAAGGTGTAAAAGACTTTTAAAGTTTTTGACAAAATAATGATAAAAATTTGAGATTGCAACTACAATAACTACAAATTCTGCCCCTATCCCAAAAGATTATCATCTTAAGAAAAAAATCTGTGGGTTATTGGGGAAAATAAAAGTCTGTGGCGCCCCTTTAGCTAAAGGAACCCCGTCTTTGAGGAGTTTGTTCCCCCTAGTTACGACACTGTTGCATATCATTTAAATTAACAGGACTGAGTTAACTGCATAGCTCATTGATTAGGAGGCTGTGCTCTATCTATGAATGAGTCAAGTTCTCATTAAACCCAAATCATGACCAAAGTAACCATAAATTTAAAACCTAAAAAACCATCCCCACCACCTAAATATTTTAATATATCTTTTACAAATATTTGCGGTCTACGAAGCAACTTTCCATCAGTTGAGTCTTACCTCCAGCAAAATTCACCAGACTTGCTTGCACTCAGTGAAACAAATTTAAATTCTACAATTCCTTCTTCAGATGTCAGTGTTGATGGGTACTATCCTTTGATTCGTAAAGACTCCAATAGTAACATGCTAGGTTTAGGGGTATACATACGCATTAATTCCCCTATTTGTCATGAAATCAGGTTCGAATCCTTTGACCATTCTTTTATGTGCTTTCGCCTAGCACCTCTTCACTCTATCACCTTTCTCTTTGTTCTTTATCGTTCTCCTTCTTCCCATGATTGCACTCTTTTAGATGTTATCTCTGATCAAATTGACCATGCCCTCTCTCTTTACCCCTCTGCCAATATTGTTGTTGTTGGTGATTTTAATGCCCATCACACTGAATGGCTTGGCTCTAACGCCACTGATCCTGCTGGCACTAAAGCCTTTAACTTCTGCGTTTCTCAATCTCTTACTCAGATAGTTAACTTTGTGACTCATTTTCCTGACAACCCTAATCATTTACCTTCACTCCTTAACGTATGTCTTGTCTCTGACCCTAGCTTATGTTCAGTTTCTCCCTTTTCTCCCTTAGGTGGTTCTGACCATGCAATGATCTCTATAAATCTTTCTTCTCGTACTTCTTTTTTGGGCTCACCTTATCATCGCACCACTTACTACTACCCTAAAGCTGACTGGGATTCCTTTTGTGATTTTCTTTGTGATGGTCCTTGGGCTGATGTTTTTTCTCTCTCAGCTGACAAATGCGCCTCCTACGTAATCTCCTGGATTCAGGCTGGAATGGAAGCTTTTATTCCTTCTCATCGGTTTCAAGTCAAGCCTCATTCTACTCCATGGTTTTCTCCTTCTTGTGCGGCTGCTATATCCAATCGTAATCATTTTTTTCATCTTTTTCAAAAGAACAACTCTCTTGAGAACAAACGGCTATTTATTATTGCAAGAAATCGATGTAAAAAGGTGCTTTCTGATGCTAAACTCCATTATTCTCAGTTCACTAAATCTCACATCTTATCGCAGAAGTTAGGCTCTAAAGACTTTTGGAAAATCTTCAACAGCATTGTTAACAAGGGTAGATCTAACATTCCATCTTTCATTCATAGGACTGATCTTATTACCTCTCCCAAGGATAAGGCAGAACTATTTGCAAAGAACTTTTCTTCTAATTCCACTCTTGAATCTTATGGACATTCTCTTCCTTCCATTCCAGTCAAACAGGTTGAC